CTTGCTTGTAAAACTCTTCCTTCCACAATAGATAGCCAGATGTAAGGCAATGTCTTAGTAATACTGCATATTCTGCTGGCATGTTATTTTCCTCTAGTTTCCTAGTTATAATTGAGATGCAGTCTTCAACAGGTAGGCATGTAAATAGAGACTGAACATCAAAACTGACCATGGTTTCATTGTCAGTAAGATGTAGGTCTTTTATCTCACTGACAAAATGGTATGAATCCTTAGTGTGTGCTCTTGTGTGTCCTCTGAGTGGTGATAATATTTTAGCTAAGTATTGAGCCAATCTGTAAGTTGGCGAATCAATCTGACTCACTATTGGACGTAATGGAGCATTCGGTTTGTGTATCTTTGGTAACCCATACAACTTCGGTGGTTTGGCACAGGAAGGTATTATCGAATTAACGTCCAGATTCAATTTTTCGGAGTATTTCTTAATTAGATCGCTAGTTGTTTTAAGCGTATTAGTTGTAGGGTCTGTTTTGACCTTTTGATAAGTAGTTTCATCCGACAAAAGTTGTTGTATTTTAAAATTGTAATCTGACGTATCCATTATAACCGTAGAATTACCTTTATCTGCGCGGAGAATCGTAAGCTCTGGTCTGTTGCGTAAGTTTTTCAACGCGTTAAATTCATTTTTGGGGAGATTTAATTTCGGCGCTGAACTTCGACGTAACATAGACGAGATGTCTTAACGTATGGCCTCTAAATCTTCATTACCAATATTATTTTTATACAGACAGTCCTCAACACTACAGATAATGTCCTCATACGGTATTTTTCGCGGTGTTATTGCGAAATTAATACCTTTTTCTAAAACTTTTATTGTGGCGTCGTCCAGTGTTTGTTTTGATAAGTTGTAGACAGCGCGTTGTTTATGATTCGTGTCTGTGGTCAACGATTTCGTATGTTGGACATTTGATTTAGTTGTTAATTTATGGTATTTATCAATGTGTTTATTTTTGCATTCATTGTATTTAGTTGTTTCGCGTTTATCTAAAGTTTCCATGCAATTTTTATAATCAAATGTCGATAAAACTGTCTTTAATTCACTGGACGAATTGTCTATGGTTTTGTTTATGAAATATAGATCGGTACGTTTTTGCTGAATCACCGTTATTAACAACTTTTTTACTAGCCTGATTTAAGATCTTGGCGCTTCCTCGAATGTCTTTTTTAGTGGATATCTTGACACACGTAGGAATGAGATTATGATCTCTGCATCTCTTCAAGAAATTTAAAGCTGTTATGTATCTTGCGCGCTTGGTCTTCAGATCTTCTAATCGGCGTATTTTATTTGCTATTTCCAGTCCGTACTGGTTAACATAATGATTTCTTATATTTACACGAACATTGCACATGATTAAAACTACTTTTACGGATTTTATCGCGTTTATTTTTACTTTTTATTTTTAATTCCCGACGTTTCGGGCGCTTTCCAGCACCCATGGTCACGGGGGGACTGAGATGACTGACGTCCCGATGTCATTGTTAAACCCGGAGTACCTTCAGCTTTTTTTAATTATTGTTTATGGTCCGATCTATGCAAAATGAACTGACTATGTCCTGAGGTCTTGCAGTGGTATGCTTGGGTTTAGTTTTAATTTTATTGATTATAGAATCCCAAGCAGGTGGTAGTACCCAGCCTCCTTCTCTATTGAAATTAGGATGTTTTTTAATTTCAATAGCCTCACGTATCATCCTTGGTAGGAATCGGTGTTCTTTCGCGAGGATTTGTGGTCTATCAAATCTGATGTAATGGTTGGGTAACCATGGGTGCTGGAAAGCGCCCGAAACGTCGGGAATTAAAAATAAAAAGTAAAAATAAACGCGATAAAATCCGTAAAAGTAGTTTTAATCATGTAATATAACATTATTAATATAAAATAGGTAATAAAATATATTTAATAGATAATTCATGAATAAACTAAAATAAGAGTAATTAATTATTTTGTATGAAAGTTAAAACGTAGTTTTTATTATAATTTCTAAAATATTTAAAATCAGAGGTAACAAATTAACTTACTCCATTAATTATAATATAGTCTCCAATTAATGTAGGTTTTTACGTTTATATGAAAACAAGAACTAAAAATTACGTGTTGAAAGTGATTCCGCTTGATTTATTACGTTTTTGTGACCTTGAATAGCATTCTTTCATTACGCATTTACCCATTTTTGTCGCGGCTCAACTCTGTCGGGGTCACATTGAACAATGAACTCACGTTAGCCAGGCATATGGCTGTGGCCATATGTGCAGTGGCAACGCTTTGGCGCGGTTATTACTGATCTAGTGTTATATAAATCAATGGTGTTATCATTCATTTATTTACATAAAATTGTATACATATGTGTCACAGTGCATCATCTTCTTCGATCATAAGAAGAGAAATTATCCGTTTAGTTTGTTAATCATTTATGTAATTTTATTTTAATTAAACCACGGTTTTATATTATCTCAACAAAAATTTATTTATATGAAAATTTACAAATCGTTGTTTTACATAAACTAAATAATAAAATTTGCCGGCTCCGTGGTGTAGCGGCTCAGCAATTGAATTAAAACGTCACAAAAACCGCGGGTTCGAATCCAGCTCGGTACAAGTATTTGTATGGCCTACAAATAATTGTTCCGGGTCTAGATGTTTGTCCTTGTGCAATTTATGTTTTCAAACTGATGACCCCCACGATGCAGGAAAAAATCCTAGTGTGGAGGTTACGTTTTTAAAAAATAGGAATAGAATATCATTTTTTTGGGCTTATGCCATCTAGCATCTATCTACTCTACGTACCACCTTGTTCGATAAAATGACTTTACCTTTAGAATATAGTAGAGGGCGCTATTACTGAAATGTGCTCACTCTTTCTAAAATAACTGTCTTAATTAAAATTAATATGTATAAGATTAGTATTTGAACGAAAGACCGTCGTAATTTTGTGATTGTACTATATACTTTATGGTATGTAATGGCCTGCGTCCTCGATTTGAATGATCGAACGAATCACCCGGTATGGACGTAGTGTTTACCCTCACCACTTTTCGTCACACAAAAAGCTTGCGGATCAGAATTTAAAAGTTTCACTTCAAATAACCGCGGTTGACAACCCGCTTGCCAAGCGTGGCAACTATGGCAAATATGATGCAATTTACGGGGAAGACTATGTGTTCAGCAGTGGACTTTAATAGGCTGTAACGGTAACGGTATAATTTATTATTGCATAACAATGAATTTACAGAAATTATATATTAATCTTGACATATACAATATGTAACGTAATTAACGCACACCCTCAGACACCCCAATTAGTATATTATGTTATAATCATAATACATACACTGAATTTTTAGTTAAACATTTTTATGTACTGATTATTTATCAAATTAGTTATAGTAATTCCGGAAGAAACTTGTGGTCACAGTACAAATCCACGAACGCAAAGACTTTAACATGATTGAAATAAAGTTCATTTTTCTTTATTTTTATTGAATGACAGAATTGGTAATAATACAAATAAAACTGCACTCTTAAAAGTCTTATTACCTTAAGTTACGGTCCATCTCAGTTTATTTTGACTGTACAGATTTAGTGTGACTGTAATTTACGTAGTTTTAATTATTTGTGGGATAAAAAATTACCTATATTAAAAATGATAGGAATCGATTCAGTAAACGATTCTGAACAAAACTTCTTTCTTAAAGTGCGTTAATTATGTTCCATGTTGTATAAATTACATGTCACGTTGTTTGTCCGCGATGGACTCCTAAACTACTTAACCGATTTTAATCAAATTTGCACACCGTGTGCAGTTTGGCCCAACTTGAGAGATAGGATAGTTTTTATTGCCCATGACCCACAATTTTTTTTGCGAATTTAAGGATTTTTAATAGAACATGAAAAAGGGTCGTCGAAAAGGGCAGAACAACGTCGGCCTGGCAAGCTAGTGTTAATATGTAATTTCTGTCAATACATTGTATGTATGTACATCTCTAAATATTACATCTAAGATAACATTAGAACCTTCGACTTCTAAACTAGAATATTCTAAGTATTTCGTTAAATAAATATTACACTGATCCTACAGTTTGCGGTTATGTTTCGGTTCTCGTTTGCGCATTCAGTAGCAAACCGTTACTACCGATATCTATAAACGGTTTTCAATATCGATATGAAAACTAAATATCGGTTAAGTAACCGTTGTGGCTAAAAACTGAAAACGTCCATGCTTACACTGAGCCCACCGACAGTAGCGAAACTCTGTTAGATCTTTTCTAGAATATAGATTATATAGAGCGAGTGAGAAAGCTGCAAGCAAACGTCTCGTAACGTACGCACACAAGTGTGGCGCTAACATGCAGAGTACAGATACAAATAAAACGTGATATTTAGTACTTCAGACACTGGCTGCCTCCACTCGCGCCACCAAAACTAACCTAAAATTAATTTAAATAAAATTAAGAAAATACGACCAAAACAGTAAAATACCCCAAAAATAAATATTCAACACCTAAAGTGAATAGTCGCATTTTGGTATTGATGTGTTATACTCAAAATAGGTAAAACACAGGTGTACATAAACAAGACAAAAACCGTTAAATATAATTTTTTTGTCACACGAGCCGCGCTTAATTCTATGGATTAGTTTTGGGTCTACGACTGCTGCAGGTCGGGTGAGACAGGGCCTCGTCCACCAAGTTTTGAAACGTTAGTAGCACAAAGGGTGTCTGTTTTAGGCAGGTTACTCTAGGCACCAATCCCCTATTGACAAATTTATAGACTAAATTTTAAAGTAGGTGTTGTGTGGTGTTATGTATAAAATTGGTCTTAATTTCAGGCGAAGCACGTGGTTGCAATTAATATCACGAAAGGAACTGGTAGATAGAAATCATAGTTCCTATGCAGTTTGCTAAATACATTTCGATGAACATTTTATAATTCAAAATTCTGAGCGCAAGACCTTAAATCAAACAGCGTTACCATTTTTGAATTTTCCAGATGAGAATCAAATACAGCAGCCACAGCCAGAGCTACATCTGCAGCAGAAGCAACAACACAAAGCGATAAAGGTTGACACATTAGGTTCAACAAATGCAAATGCTTTAACTCAAACTAAAAATATTGATGAAATAAAAACAGAAAGCACTAATGCTGCACCTATTCCATGTGCTTCAACTCCTCGCAAAATAAAGTTCGAAGCTAACCTTTCTAATAGTACAAAGAAAATTCGACTGAATGAAACTGAGAATGTAAAACAAGAAATATTAATTTCACTACGCGACCGATTTCTAACCAAAGAACAGTCTCAACTTGTGGAAGCACCATTGCAAATAAAAGTAAGCAGCCCAGGTAATAGATTTGGCTTGCAATATTACCTATTATGTATAAGCCTTTATCATACTAGCCCCGTTGCATACAGGTTGCTTCAGAAGGCGAATACTCTTCCAAGTCCAAAACACTTTGTAAGTGTTCGGTACTTGTCTTAACTGAAATTAACGACACTTTTAACGATGAAAGTAAATAGCATGGGGAATTCAGAAAAGTTTGTTTGTTCGTGAAAAGATAAGATTATTAGTTTCTATTAGGTTTATGGAGTTCAAACTGCAATAACTGAGAAATATATTTTGATTGTTGAGATACGCTGCATATGTAAAAAAGAGGAAGCCACCATAGACTTGTTACACTACTGCGTATATCGATGGGAAGCCACCCATTTGGATTTGCATTATTAACAAAAATTAAAAATAATTCCTCTTTGTGTTAATAAGTTACTTTGAAACATCTGGATTTAGATGGGGATATTAAAATCAGATTGAAGATCCGATTTAAATGAACTTATTTAAGTTGCAGTCCATCAAGATAATGTTCATTTTCATGATTCCGTAGCTAAATGCGGCACATACAGATAGCAAACAGCCATTTAAAGTCCACGTGTTTTAAGAAAATGAAAGTCCGATTAGCAACACAAATTTTGTCACACACATGAAGTGTTAAATAGTTTAATAACATACATTGCGCGCGCCAGACGTCTGAATTTATAATTTTCTGGTGTGTTTAGGTGGTGATGACTATTTTGGACGAAGTCCTAGATATTTTTCTTCAATAGAATTGGGTAATTCACTATTTGAACACGACGCAGGTTCAAAAGTAAATTTTATCGATGGGTTCCATATAACAATGAAATTTATTAAAAACCTAGACTAAAAGAACGAAGAAGACTAAAAGACTAGAAGGTTAAATACCAGGATGTTATAGAATTTTTTTCGGACAAACAAGAAAAAAGTCGTTTTCAATGAACCAACGAGCCGACAATTTTATTCAGACAATCTTCATTGTAATTGTTCTGATGAATTAACGCATGTTCCTTTTTAGAACGAATTAAGCAGAGCTACAGATACTTAGAACTCACTTTCTTATTAAAAGACGTGGTTCTCAGGTTTATACTATCAATAATCTTTTTATAAGCCTAATGCCCAACTTCTCAAATGCTGCTCAATTTTAAGGTGGCAATAAATTTCGTGAAGTCTCTATCACTTTAATTCAAAGTGACTACGATACCACTAGACTTAAAGACATCCTTATATTGAATAGCGTTTGAGTATTTTGCCATAAGCTATCTATAAAACACGGTGCATGTAGTAACACCGATACAGTTTTCAGAATTTTAGTCAGTCTGATACGATCACACAAGTTTCAAACTCCGATACGAATGGTATACGTTCAGTTTATTCTGATTACCACTGCTGTTGCTTGACATGTCTCAAAAGAATACATTAACAGTTTCCCTGTCCGCTCCAAAACCTGGTTTTGGATCAGAAAACCTTACTTACTCCCGCCTGTTGTTAGTACACACATGCAGTTATATTTCTTGAAATATTTTTCGTCTCCTTTTCAACACGTTTTTATTAGCTTTACCTTCAATATGTATTTATGCGTCTACGTCTATGTTAGTATTTTAAATGAATGATATGGAATTTTATACTTCATTAAATAGTTAAACAATCGAAATGTTCATATATGATTCATGGGATAGGGAAAGGGTTAATGTACATTTGTAGTTTTCTTTTCCAAAGAAAAATGCTGATTGCCACAAATGTTCAGCATTGAAATCTTAATTTCGATCACAGGACAGGACACTTCTCATAATTTTTTGAACACTAGACCGACACACTACACAAGATACAGCAGTTTCCCTAGAGCTCACTTGAATGTTTTAATATTAACTGACTCCAGACGACTTTGTAAATCTTTTACTTTGAACTCCAGCACATTCACTACTTTCTTCAATAAATCATTTTCTATTACAAGTCTAAAAGTCAAGTTTAAAAGTCCTTACATTTTTATAGATGTTCTAAGACCATTTTTTCTTTTTCATCTATCTTCAATCTCCTCAAAGTTTATTACTTTGAATTCATATTTTTCGGCATACTTCCGATTAATCTTGTTTTTATTTTTATTTTTACATACTAAGATGCGTAATATAAGTAGAGCTGTACTTTTTTCTATTAATTAACGAATGTTTATTATTACAACAATATGTTGAAAAAACTTTAGGAAATATTCAGAAGTTATTTAAAATCGTTGTTACTATTTACTAATAGATTAGGAAAATTCATTGCTTATTAGCACTTACGTTTTATCTATCAATAAAATTTCATTTTGATGTCATGTATTCCCGCTCTATGAAGATGTAAGGTGGCATTGTGGCAAACAACAAATTTGTTTAAATCAATTTACAATTTACATACAAAATTTAATTGATATGAAGCTAATTAATATAAGTAACACGTTGCTAACCTTATCAAACGAATGCGTTTACCTGATAAGTTTTTCAATTTGAATTATTTTGGCTTGAAATGAATAACATGTCCTAGATCCTGAATTCAAATATCCGTTTCAAAGAATATTTATGTAAAACTACTTTCACAAATCACTCAACAATAAAAACACTAATCATTTTTGGGTCTAGATGTATGGTGATTTATGATGACCGTCACCGTGCTTCTGACATTTATCTAAGCCTGCTAGCGATATTGTCCTCCACGATTTCAGTCGTAGCGACTTGCGGCCTATTTAAGCATGATGAAAAATGTACCCCTGGCTAACCATGATATGATTACATCATTGAAGTATTAAATTAATGATATATCTTCTATTATATTATCTTAATATATATAAATTACGTGTCACGTTGTTTGTCCGCGATGGACTCCTAAACTACTCGACCGATTTTAATCAAATTCACACACCGTATTTTGGTCCCACTTGAGAGATAGGATACTTTTTTTGCCCGTGAGTGACCCACAATTTTTATTGTGAATTTAAGGAGTTTTAATAAGACATGACAAAGGGTCGTCGAAAAGGGCAGAACAACGTCTGCCTGGCAAGCTAGTTAATAATAAAAAATCAACAAACAAGTTATGTGCATGTCAGCAAATAATACCTACGCCCAATAAACATATCTAAACAATGCCTTAGACGTATGTGACATTAAGATAAAATAGTTTAATTATTACATACATATAAAATCAGTGTATATCATTGACTTATATATTACTAGCGTAAGGACCGGGCCGACCGAACAACTAAAACGGACCAGTGCGTTGGCCCTAAAATTACAGTTTAGGGCCAACGCGAATCGGTCGACAGTGGCGCGTGCGCAAGCCAGATTTGCCTGTCACAATATGTCTATTGTCTGTCTAGTTGCGTGGTAAAAGAATACAAAAATTACGATACAAAGATTTTAAAAAACATGGGATACCGTATCATCGGTAAATAACCTTATATTAATTTTGTTACAATTAAATTATTATATAAACGCATTTTTAAAGTTTTATTTTACAGTTAGTTTAGTTACGATACCAAGAGATTATATAGGCCGGGGTAGAATTCAGACCCTCAAAAATATCGTATATGGAAAATAAAAATATACTATTTAAAAAAATTATATCACGTTTGACGTTTCATGTTTCTTTTTTCCCAAGTGCCGGGATTTTGGCGTCACGCGTCCTGTTTATCTATACGTTTCGGTTTTTGAGGGTTTTCTTTTTATTTCTGTTTTATTTTTGTCTAAAGAACTTAGTGTAAGTTAAATTTTGAATATTGATATTTGATACCTAATATATTTTATATTCAATAAGGGTAAAACGAAAAGAGTACTAAAGAAACCATATCAGCTTAATTTAATGTGAAAATCTGATTCATAAAATATTTTGAAATTCTGTTTTCAAACCTTGCTTCTGGAGCATAGAGTTTTTTTCGTGGTAGCCCCTCATTATAGATGTATCAAGAATGCAACATAAATGCATCGATCGAGCATCGATTGACCAGAAAGGGAGCTAATTCTAATTTTATTTAAAAAAACGCGGTACTCATGTACAATACAGAAATTTTCAATATCGTAGGGTTAGTATTAAAATCTAAAAGGACCCAATAATAATGATACAAGTCGACCTTTAGGTAAAGTTATGGTATTTTCGCTTAGTATTATTACGATATCATGTACTACTAAGAAGTAATGGAACAACTAGGATAATTAAACTACGAAATCCGACCCTGGTTACGTCGTGTTGTGATATGTCATTTATATTATGAGATATGCGCCACTTTTTCTTGTATGAAAAAGTTATGAGTAAAATATTTAGATGGGCCTATCCTTCTTTTTGAAATCATTGGTGTATATATGTGTATACCGCTATTTTTCGTTTGGTGAATGACGAGAATCGAGAACTGGAGAATTTCCGTACAAACTAAAAACGTACCTAATTTTTATCTACTTATAGGGAAAATTTTGTATCCTTTTTGAGCATATTGCGTGTACGGAGGAATGTCAGATTTGACATACCTAGTTTAAAGTTTATAAAGTAGAGGAGTGCATAATGCTAAAATTTATTCTTGTGTTGAATCGTTAATAGGTGGGAAAAATTATTTCGTGTCTTCATGTCTTGACGTTCACCACTCTTATCTATGACGTTCATACTGCCAATTTTCTGTATATATTACTTTACTCTATGCTGCCAATACAATGCAGGAGTAGGACAGTTGTGGACAATTCCATATATTGACAGATTTGGGGTCATTTTCAAAATGCGACATCTGTTATCCCCATCCAACACAATTAGTTACTTCATGTCACCGCAGATGGCGACACAACCGATACAAATATAATTTGTGACTGAAAAATATTGTAAAAAAATTTTAATTGCATTACCTATATAATCATTTTATTTAACACGTATTATAATTATTTGTAAATATTTGTGTAGATTACAAGCTGCGGAATAATTACGATAGCAACACAGTGAATTAATGATTTCCTTATTGATTGTCAAATGTCAAATTGTCAGGTCAGGTCACAAATACGGCTAGTGTAGTGGCGACTGGCGACTGCTCCTTGTTTTCGACCCATGTTTGTGCTTTTGCGTGAATTTAATCTACCGATCCACGTTAAGTTAACATAGTGAAGTGTAAGAATTTTCCGAAGTTATTCAAGTGCAATTGTTTTTTTTTGCGACACGGACGCTTCGTTTGTGCTGTTTCTTTGCGATGTAGACGCTTGTGATTTGTTTGTATCATGCCTAAACGGTGTGCATTGGGATGTTCAAACAGTAAGTAATCATCATTATATTTCTGCCATCCTGCCTCCCCATAGATTTCCATAGTGCCCGGTGAACTTCAACTCCCTCCCCGCTCGACTGCCTCGATGGTCTGGTGGTCGCAAGCGTTATTGGGTTTTACCATTAGAAATTTCGCAGTAGCAGCTCGTAGTCCAGATTTGTGCCCGGTTGATGGCAATAGGCTATTAGAAATGCTTGATTGAAATTAGTATGAATACAGTCACTTACAAACCAGTCTTAGATGCCTTCACGTTTAGTTTAATACATGATATATCTAATCTTTAAAATATTCTATTACCAACATAATAGGTAACAGTAAAAATTATAACACTGCATTACATGCACTACATTAATTAATGCATTTCAGGGTCATTATTCAAGCAAAGTGCAAAATGATATGGTAATAATCCTCTCATTTTTTGTTAATTGTAAAATAGTTATAGCAATATTGTATTTTTTTAAAACGGCATAAATAACACAATCAATGAATAGTGGAGTAGGAATGGAATTACAATTCAGTAATAAAGAACTTGTATACTCATGTATTACAAAACAATTTTTGAGTTCAGAAGATCTCTTGACTAATATAAAGTCATCTTTATTTTCAATCTGTAAGATTAGTCGAAATAGCAATAAGGCAACATACAAACAAGATTAAAATAATATGATCATTTATGTAAAAAATTAAAAGCAATGTGAACCAATAACTTAAAAACCTAAAGAATAGGTGTTATCATTGCCTTTCAAAGTGTGGCATTTCACTTCGATATAAACTATAGATTAGTCGTAAGTCCCTAGCCATAGCACAGTTTTAGGTATATTAAAGATAAATACTGGCACATTGTTAGATCCACATGCTTGAGTAAGTGCCGGCAACGCACCCGCAATTCCCCTGGTGTTGCGGTTGATCATGGGCGGCGGTAGTCACTTAACATCAGGTGAGCCGCATGCTCGTTTGCCCCCTCTTCTATAAAAAAAGTGCATTTTTCAAAACTAAATACCTTAATCAAACTTTATTTTGCACATCTAGAAAAGCTATTAACAAATATTATATGGTGGTATGGAACCTTTTTTGTAAGAGTCTGACTCCCACTTGTCTGCTTTTTTAAATATTAGTAGGAATCATTGGCTAATAGATGTCAATATAGTTATGCATCATTATTCAGGAAAAGTTATTTTAGATCTTTAAACTTTTTTAAAAAAACTTAAAAGTGATCTTTTTTTTTTTCAGAGAACTCCTATCATCAATTTCCGCACCCGGAAAAGAATCCTGACCATTTTAAAGCTTGGGTTGATATAGCTGGTGGGAAGTTAGATAGTCCTGCTGATTATGAACTGTATAGGAAGAAGGTCATCTGTGATATCCATTTTACTGACAAGGATAGGAACCGTAATAACCGGTTGAATTTTCTAGCTGTGCCATCACTTCATCTTCCTGGTAAGATTTACATAATTTACAAATAAAGGCATTATAACTTATTACAAATTATACAATAGTGGTACTGAGCTTGAGTTGAAGTTAGCATTTTGTTAATATTGCATATTTAACTAAAATACTTCCCTAATTAGGCAAGAAACATGGCCAAAATGATGGGAAATCATTTTGCACATGTTTTTAACAAGTGCAAATACAGTACCATGTGTTGTCCCATATTAAACCCTATATTGATTAGTATGTAGGTCATTGCTAGTATTGTTTTATTTTTATGCTTATGAGTAATTTTTTAATTCGTATTATGTTTATTTTATATTTTGATAATGGTAATAAAACATATTTATGGTGGTTATTCTGTTTGGTGGCAAAATAAAATGTTTATATATTTTTATCCCACTTCAAATTAAAAATTCTTTGACATTATAAGTTTTATTTATTTTTAAAATAAATAATATTATTGTCTTATTTTTCAGGCAAGTCTGATGAAGTTGGGAGTTTAGAGAAAGTTTTACTTGTACCTGAACCTGTGAATGAAGAAAGTAGTCTTGCTACATTAAAACGGACACTAACAGGTACTTACATATTGGTTCCAATTATCGTAGACAGCAATAAAAGAAAAGCAAAATAAGTTTTTATTTTATTTTAAAGGGATTTGTAGTCTAGGTGCCATAAGTACTTTCAAAAGGTCATTATCGTCTATCGGTCATGTAGTTATTTGCTATAACGAATTAAATACAACTGTACCATGATTAATTTTGGCCCTAACCTAATAAAATATACTGTAAATGCTATAGTTATTGGGCTCAAAACAGTTGCTGGCCATTTAGATTCTGGTCTAAGTTACAACTTCAATGATAAATTAAACAACAACATTGAACAGCTTGGTGTTAGAGCTTGGTGCGCGCTAAACTACTATAAAATCTCGAGCAGACCTGCATGTTGATTTATGACCTGATCATTTTATGTATCTATGCTCAGCATAACGCTTAAAACATATCCCTTATTTTTCAGGCAAGTCTGATGAAGTTGGTACTTCAGAGAAAGTTTTACTTGTACCTGTAATAAAACATATTTATGGTGGTTATTCTGTTTGGTGGCAAAATAAAATGTTTATATATTTTTATCCCACTTCAAATTAAAAATTCTTTGACATTATAAGTTTTATTTATTTTTAAAATAAATAATATTATTGTCTTATTTTTCAGGCAAGTCTGATGAAGTTGGGAGTTTAGAGAAAGTTTTACTTGTACCTGAACCTGTGAATGAAGAAAGCAGCCTTGCTATATTAAAACTGACACCGACAGGTACTGACATATTAATTCCAATTATTTATTACATTCATGTTGTTGGTAAATTTATATACATAAAGTTAGACTAAATTGAATCTAAAAATAACACACTAACAAAATCAATATTTCTCATTAATTTTTCTTTCACATTACAGATAACTCTGCCAGTATTACTTCAGAACACAATTATTTCCTACATCAGAAGAAGGCAATACATAAAAACAATAGTAAGTTTTTTTTAGATATTTAGGGGATTAGGAACCAGTCTTCACTTTAAGGGAAGCACTACGGTATTTCCTAAAAATTAACCGAACCCATTCCGAACTAAAAATCAAATATATAGTAATCGGCCATAATTTTGTAAAAGCTAATGATATACAAATAAATACATACAGTGTGTCCGGTCACGGATTAGCGATATTCAAGGTACTTATATTTCAACTTTTTTAATACACAAATACACTACACACTGAGGTCTAATTCCCCTCCCCTCTATGTGACAGTCATTTTGTTTTATTCTTGAGGTTTTATCTACATGTGTACAAAAAATATCATATCTCTCAAAGTTTTAATCTTTCTGAGATAAAAATAGGCTCATTTGGAAGGCAACAATATTGTCTATCGTTTACATGACCAAAATGAATTCACATACTCGTAACTTAAAACAAATATTTGAGGCTAAATAAATATCAAAAAATTATGCAAATCAATTTTTTTACAGATAATTATCAGCAGCAGGTGTTGCCGTCATTCTGGTTGAACCAGCTAAAAACAACAACAAAAATTAAAATTTTGCAATCAAACTTGATCAGATCACAAAAGAAAAACAAAACTTTTCAATCCAGAATAGTCAATGCTGAAGAAATGTCTACAGGTCTTTTGTTTAAAAAAACTGTCGAATGAAATGACCGTGGCAGCAAAAAATTTCACAAAAATGCACTACACCCAGCTGAGCACGAAGCCTCCAGGTCGCAGATTCTCTCTCGAAGAAAAAGTGCTCTCATATTCTTTATATAAAGAGTCCAAGAAGCTACCCTCTTTTAGCAAAATATTTCACTTTGCCATCAACTAAATCTTTAAAAATACTTTCGACCAAAATACAAGTGGGGCCGGGGCTGAATAAATGCATGTTTATAAAAATTAAAAATACCATAAATGGAATTACGTGCAGAGACCGGTTATGCAGCTTAATTTTTGACGAAATGTCAATATCCCCTCAAATCCAATATAACGCTGCAAAAGACCAGCTTAGAGGGTTCACATTTAATGGCAAGAAAATTACAGACTCTGTATTAGTCTTCATGGTAAAGGGATTAAAGAAAGAGATTTAAGCAACCCGTCGCGTATTATTTCACCAACTCCGTGAATAAGACTCAATTAAAAGAAATTTTGCTAAAACTTATTACATAGTACGGGATTAAAGGTCATATTATGTACTGTGTGTGATCAAAGTACAGTCAAAGTGAGCGTTATAATTGACTTGGTAGGAAGGAAAATAAGGGAAAACATAAGTAATCCATCTATTTGATGTTCCACATTTAATAAAAGGAGTCCGAAACAATTTACTCATAAAAGATTTAAAATATGATTTTGAAGAAAGGTGCGAAAAAACCGTTAAATGTGATTACTATAAACAAAACTTATGAAGCTGATAAATCGTATCGAGAAGTGGGGTGCCTGCTGAAAGTCACAGATGAGCACATCTATGTCGACAAAATAAGAAAAATGAAAGTGAAACCTGCAGCCCAAATTTTCAGTCACAGGGTAGCTGCAACTGCAGGATATCTTGTGGCTAGAGGAGACATTCCGGGAGAATGCCAAAATTTGGTAAAACTTACAAAAATAATGGCGAATCTTTTTGATTCATTAAATTCTAACATATTTCGTGTGCCTGATGGCAAAATACATAAAGAATGGGTACAACGATCTAGTTCACACCATGGTTTGTGGAAGAATGCCATAAAAGTTTTGAAAACTGTAACATTTGTTGAAAAATAAAGGATAAAAATAACAAAATCCGTTTGATTGAAACGAAAGCTATACCATCTATAAAAAAAAACTTCATACGTACAATTCAATTAATGCAAAAATTACGGATATTGCTGTCCCAAACATATTCATTTAATGCTATGCTAACACGTAATTTCAACCAGGACCCACTAGAGAATTTCTTTGGAAATATCAGAAGTTATGTGGCGAGAAATATTACGCCAGACACAGTTGCATTAGAAGGGGCCTTTAAGTCCCTTTTAATTAATAATTTTAACTCGCCCCATTCTCTGCATGCAAACTGCGAAAAAGACGACTATGTGCTTGTTAGGGCAATTGTGTGTGGGTGGTTCCTTAGGAACTGCGTTAAAAATGTATCAAAAAGCTGCAAAATTTCTAAAAAAGATATTTATGTCAACCCTAAAAGCAAATTAAATTAATATATAAGGGCCTAACCTTATAAAAGGTTAATTTTCTTTAAATATACCCATCTAAAGAAATGGAAAAATGTTTTGTCCAAATTCCAAATTTTGTGACGGACATATTAAAAAAATGTTACAAAAAAGGCTTAAAAGTTAAATAAAACCGTGTTTACCGACATATTTGTTGACTATCCATATATAAAAAATAAGAAAAAAATATTTTGAAAACATTTATGTCCTTTTTTAATAGTATAGTTGGTGCCGTTCAATAAACCGGATATTTTCTGGCAAAAATCACATACCATAGTGAGGATGAAACTAAAGCAGCAGCGCAAGTTTATAAAAATAAACACAAGACAAATAAATAAAATTGTAAAATAAAAGTTTTGTTTTTTTGTGTATCCAATCACCTTTTTGAAATTGATGCTTCCTTACTAGTTTGTTTGTTTTTAATTTGATAAAGTTTACTTGGATTTTGTTAAAGAGAAAAAACAAAATTAAGTAAAACTATCAACTTGACAACAAGTTAAATAGTAGTAATGAAGGAAGCTAAAAGCATAGGCACTACGTAGTACCTATATGCTATAGATGTCACAAGTTTATGGATGGCGTTAATAGATGGCGCTACAAACGCCAACCAACAATAATATGATTTTAGTCCAGTCTGCTATACGTCATAGAGTAGAGTAATATACTAAAACGTCCTGTAGTGAACTACGGACTGATCATAGAGTAGAGTAATATATACAAAAAGGACTGATAAAGAAAGATAAATGTGTGAGTTCGTGTCAAGAAGTTATCATGGTTACGGCATCAATTGAAATGTATGCAATAATCCGTCTATTTTTTTTGTTGGTTTGGGTTTTAAAAGGGATATTTCAAATTACCATATCATTAGGAAAGTAATAGGTGTACCTAAGTTTTCCAAATAAAATAGTGTTTAATCAATCACTCTTTTCGCAACCTAAATATCAATTTACCTGGAAATAAGGTTATCAAAAGAGCGCACATTTCACCTGGTGTTAAGTGGATGCTGTGGCCCATAGACATTTTACATTGATTCTCGAATAAGAGTTCAAATGCATTGTCCCCTTGAGGACGAATGCGTCGTTTCCAGTAAAAGTGTTTCCGGTTCTCTACACTCACCATACGAATCACAGCAGCATTAAACTGCTATTTTACGTTGGTATTCTGCGAGGGCGTAGTCCTTCCCCGGTCGAGCCACCCATTAGTGCTTTAACCATAATTTAGCTGGAGCGTGGCTCTATAGTTAGCTAGTTTAAACTTTGAACTATAGAGCTGAACTGTAGTGTAATTAACGTTACAGCCTGTTTAGTTTTTCTTTCAGAAACCCGGTGTGTTTAATTTTATTTGCAGTTTGTTTGATAAATTTTATATAGGTAGTATGGTTTGTTTAAAAATTCTATAATTATTGTTTTTTTTTCAGTAACATTAAGTGAAGCAATGAAGATCGGATTCATCGGCGGCGGCAAATTGGCTTTCGCTTTGGCTAATGGATTTATTACCGCAGGTAATATTGGAATATATCGCTATGAAATCCATTTTAGTAAAAAAATCATATTATATTAGAGATGAATTAATTATTTTAAATATTATCAGCGTTATAAAATAAAATGATGTGTCTTACCTATATTTGAGAAGCACCTCCCGCCTTCCCTCAATTGCGTGTATATCCCCGTTACCACTAATCCCAGCACCACTACTCCCAACACAACTAGGAAAACAACTCCGTCGATAATAAAACACGTGTTTCGCCTCTCACGAGGCATCCTCAGGTGAAGTAGACTCTATGGTGATATATATATATATATATATATATATATATATATATATATATATATATATAAATATTATAGAGCGGACGTTGGGAACCTTTGCATACAAAAACTGTGAGCACGCGCGTGTGTTAAGCCCTCTATCGAAAAATAGCAATACTACGCTGAATATTTATTTGAAAAACATTTTAGCTATTTCCCATTTGGTGACGCTTCTGAATATAAGGTAAAAATCGGTTTTAGGCACGTCGTCAATTACTAACATATTTGTAAATAAATAGTGACGTTACTTGATAACAGAGGGCACTTATTACAATAATTTTTCTTTCTTCTAGAACAATCTACCGGAAATAATAAAATTTAAAGATTATTTGGTAAATATACATTATTCTTAGGATAATAAACCGAAATCATGTTCATTTTTTGCTCCATATCGTGAATTACCTACTATACCCTAATACATAACCGGGCATATTTTCTTTGTCCTTTGCCTTTCGGTGATGTCACTTAGACTAAATCACAAAAATCGGAGATATATCCTATAGGACAAAAGTTACACACGACAATTTTGTTGCTGATGTCCGGTCTATTACTACTACATACTTAAATGTCTTTGGCGGTGGTAGACCGCTAAATGTCAACTTTAAGATAATGAATTTCAGCAAAATAATAATTAACTTATATATTTTCTCCAAAAGCACAGATATATTACTCAAGTGATGCTGCCAATCTTTTTCTTCACTTCCTTCTGTCGCATCGTACTGGGTAGTGAATTCTCTTACGCCGTCACTACACGTCTAATTGCAACGCAAAATAATAAAAATACTGCGGTGGTCCAGCGTGACAACCAAGGCATAAGTGGAGCAATCTTTGGGGGAGGCCTATGTTCAGAAATGGGTTTTGATAGGTTGTAATGAAACCGCGTAGTATAAAAAAAATACAGCTTATATACGTCCCACTGCTGGGCACAGGCCTCCCTCATTTCTGAGAGGGTTTTAGGGCAAGGAAGTGCCCGCCGGGCTGTCCCAATGAACTGGTGAACTTCCCATGTCTTCGAAATATTTTTTGTTCTTATTTTTCAGACATGCAGGTTTTCTCACGAACTCGCGATGTTTTCTTTACCGCCGAGCACGTGGTAAATCAGCACTTAAAATTGCAAGTAACAATTTCATTGGTGCCGGCGGGCGTCGCATCCGGGTTGCTCTAGTACTGTGAAATTCACAACAAACGCTAATCTTCTCAGCTAACACGGCTCCACCGCGTAGTGGCTACCACGGCACCAAACTGCATAATGACAGTATAAGAATATCCACTGCCCCATATCGTCCCGTGGGTGTCGTAAGAGGCGCCAGGCTGAAACCAGCCAGGCCTGGCGTGGCAGCTATGGCAAAATCCCCCCTATGTGGCAATCTGTAAGGGAGGCCCGTGACCATGACCAGCAGTGGGTTTTTATAGGCCGATAAATAAGAAGTAATAATATCTTTTTTGTACAAGTATCTATGGGGTACAAACGGGCACACAGTCTTCTTGGGGAAATGCCTCACAGGAGTATTAATACCGCTTTCACAGACATCCGTGGCTCCTTCATCGCGAATACGTTTTCACTCGTGCTCGTAAGGACCAACATCACGGATTGTACTGCCAAAAGTAAAATGCTATATGATATTATTGCTGCTATTTCGGTTTGGTATTCTGTTAGAGCTACCATGGCTTAGAGGTTAAACTCGATTCGTACGGGTTCGACACCACTGGATTTGTTAATTGCAATTAGCAATTTTAAGTACAGATTTACCACGTCCTCGGTAGTGAAGGAAAATATCGTGAGGAAACATGCATGTCTTAGATATAAAACACACATGTGAAGTCCGCCAACATGTTAGAGCAGCGCGTCTATACCTAGTAGCGGAACGGATAAAGGCTGCAACTTTTTCTGTAAGAGCGTGGTCCTTTCCTGGTAGGCCCATTTCATAAGCACTGATGATGAATATTTTTTAATATAATTATGAAGGCTCAGTAGCGCATGGGCTAAACGTGCGCCTGCGGCTCTGCTATATTACGGGTGAGATACCCGCTCGGATAAAAGATTTTGTATTGGCTATAAATATTGTCTCAAGTCTGGATGTTCGTTCAAGTGCAATGTATTATTTATTCAATCTCACTTAATGTGCGCAGTTTATTATTCTAATATAAGTTGTTTTTTTAAATATAAATAGGTCTTGCAAAAGCAGATGAAATAACGGCTAGCTGTCATCCGTCCGATGTAACAAGTGCTAAAGCTTTCAAGGTAAGAGAAAATATTTAAAAACTTTCGGCCTTATTACAAAACGTGGTTCAATGATAGTTTCGGGCATTGAACATTATTACTCTTTACCGAGAGGTCTCGGGTGTAAAGCAGAGTATTTGTCATGAAAAAGGTCCCTTAACTGCAGGTGCTACAGTCTTCGCGAAATTTGACAATTACTTTGAAATTCCAAACTACAATAATTTCACATATTTTTCATGAGACTTCTTTATTGAACCGTACTCTAGTTTAAACCCGAAACTAATTTTAAGTTCGTAAATACATTTTACTTCCATGATTTTAAACTACTGTAGCGTGCCATAATTAGTGCCACTAGGGCCAGAAGCAGAGTAGCAGAAGACTAAGAGCTTTCTAAAAAATTCACTATTTGAACATACTACACTTAGTCGGTCGGGACCGGTATGTGCTCGAATATTATAAATGTTTTAATGAAAAAGGTCCTAATGATTTCTTATATTTACGCGAACATTGCACATGATTAAAACTACTTTTACGGATTTTATCGCGTTTATTTTTACTTTTTATTTTTAATTCCCGACGTTTCGGGCGCTTTCCAGCACCCATGGTCACGGGGGACTGAGATGACTGACGTCCCGATGTCATTGTTAAACCCGGAGTACCTTCAGCTTTTTTTAATTATTGTTTATGGTCCGATCTATGCAAAATTTTTTTTTTTTTTTATAGGCTAGGGTGACAAACGAGCACACAGTCCACCTGATGGTAAGTGGTTGCTGTGGCCCATAGACATCTACATCTATCCTCGATTACAAATCAAAATGCAGATGCGTTGTCACCAGTGAGGACTAAGATGGAATGCCTCGTTTCCAGTAAAAAGGGTCTCCGGTTCTCTACACTCACCATACGAAATACAGCAGCATTAAGCTACTATTTCACGCTGGTATTCTGTGAGAGCGTGGTCCTTCCCCGGTCGAGCCGACCCATTCGTGCTACAGCTATACTACTAATATAACTGCAGCATGGCTCTACCACGTAAAATGCAAAATGAACTCACTATGTCCTGAGGTCTTGCAGTGGTATGCTTGGGTTTAGTTTTAATTTTATTGATTATAGGATCCCAAGCAGGTGGTAGTACCCAGCCTCCTTCTCTATTGAAATTAGGATGTTTTTTAATTTCAATAGCCTCACGTATCATCCTTGGTAGGAATCGGTGTTCTTTCGCGAGGAGTTGTGGTCTATCAAATCTGATGTAATGGTTGGGGCCGTCTAGGATATGATCACAAACTGCAGACTTCCCGGAACGTTGATGCTTCACATCAGCTATATGTTCTTTTACGCGGGTTCTAATTGATCTTTTTGTTTGTCCTATATAAGAGAGACCACATTCACAATCAAGCTTGTACACTCCTGCATCTTGCAGAGGAATATGACACTTGACTGATGGTAGGAACTGACTAATCTTCTTCGGCGGCTTGTAGAATGTTCTAATAGAAGCTCGCTTCAAGATGTAGCCAATTTTGTCTGTGACACCTCTGACATATGGTAGTACAGCAGGCACACGCTCGACTGTGGCCGGCTTCACTCGGTCACTGTGACGTAGGCGCGGGACCCGAAGCTTGTTGTCGTGCAGAACTTGCTTGACGTGCTGAAGCTCGGCGGCCAGGTTTTTGCTGTCACAGATCCCTCGTGCTCTCTGTAACAAAGATTTGCCCACGGTAGCTAACTGTGAAGGATGGTGGTGAGATTAACCGTTTAAATATCGGTTTGTATGGGTCCATTGGTCACAGTGTGACCAATGGTGTTATTAGGATTTCGGATGACTAACACATGCCACCAATCAAACCATGGTCAGTTTTGATGTTCAGTCTCTATTTACATGCCTACCTGTTGAAGACTGCATTTCAATTATAACTAGGAAACTAGAGGAAAATAACATGCCAGCAGAATATGCAGTATTACTAAGACATTGCCTTACATCTGGCTATCTATTGTGGAAGGAAGAGTTTTACAAGCAAGTAGATGGTGTGGCGATGGGCTCACCTGTATCTCCCATTGTCGCCGATATATTCATGGAAGACTTTGAGGAGAAAGCCCTCCTTACTGCACCTGTTACACCAAGGATCTACAAGCGGTACGTAGACGATACTTTCACAATTTTACCATCAGACAAATTAACTGCATTTTTAGAACATTTTAATTCCATAAACGCTAAAATTCTATTTACTATGGAGTTAAATGCAAATAATTCCTTACCTTTCCTAGATGTGTTAGTTATCCGAAATCCTAATAACACCATTGGTCACACTGTGTATAGGAAAAAGACCCATACAAACCGATATTTAAACGGTGAATCTCACCACCATCCTTCACAGTTAGTTAGAAGTTTTTATTGTCACGAACCTTAAGCTCGTAAAACTACTCTTTATAATTAGACGGTTTGCGTATAAGGATTGATTACGTATAAGGATTGATATAAAATTTTGTGGATGTGTTTGAAACGGGAGACGGGCAGCAGCATCTTCCTGAAAACAATAAATTAGATTAAATAAAAAACCTGTTGCCAACCCGCCTGCAAAGTATGACAAATATCACAAATATGTAACACATACGCAATGTGCGGGAAAAATATGTTCAGCAGTCAGCAGTAGACTTTTGATAGACTGTAATGATGATAATGACGTAAAAAGATTGATTGAAATTCGTCTTGTATTATTTTGTGTATAAATAGTTTATTAAAAAAAAATATAATTTAATTCACCACATCATTATGTAAACGTTTCAGAGCATAGGAGCCACAGCTGTGTTCAAAAACAAATCGGTCGTAGAACGTTCCGAAGTTGTAATTGTTTCGGTGAAACCCGATGTGGTGGTGTCGGCACTTCGGGAAGTTAAGGATTTGCCAGCCTCCAAGAATAAACTTTTCATATCTGTGGCAATGGGAATCTCAACCGCAACTGTTGAAAAGGTATTATGTAATTTACTTTATCTCCAAAACCCAGCAAAGTTGGTTACCGTAGTACAAACTTCATAGCGGAGTGGCTAAGCGTTCGGCTATGGCGTAGCGCGTTCAAATCCCGTACCAAACAAGTATTTGGTATGGCCTAAACATAATTGTTTTGGGTTTAAATATTTTTCTTCACAGCACGTCGTAACAAAACAGCACTTAAAATTGCAATACACAATTTCATTAGCGCCGGCTGGGATCGAACCTAGCAATCACCTGTGCGCTGCCACGACTTCATTATATTAAATTAATTGATGAACTTTAATATGTGTTTAATATGTGTTTGTATTTCATACGTGGTAGAGCCATGCTGCAGTTATATGGTATGTGTATAGTTGTTGTAGCACGAATGGGTCGGCTCGTCCGGGGAAGGACCACGCTCTCATAGAATACCAGCGTGAAATAGTAGCTTAATGCTGCTGTATTTCGTATGGTGAGTGTAGAGAACCGGAGAACCTTTTTACTGGAAATGAGGCATTCCATCTTAGTCCTCACGGGTGACAACGCATCTGCATTTTGATTCGTAATCGAGGATAGATGTAGATGTCTGTGGGCCACCGCAACCACTAACTATCAGGTGGACTCTGTGCTCGTTTGTCTCCCCATACTATATGAAAAAAATGTTTCTTTAATTTTCCATTGCTTATTGTTATTTCAGAACCTACCATCAGAAGCTCGTGTCATTCGGGTAATGCCAAACACACCAGCTCTTGTCAAAGAAGGCGCTGCGGCTCTCAGCCGAGGATCAAGAGCGACAGATGAAGATGCTAAGCTTACCACTGAGTTGTTCAGTGCAGTTGGTACCTGTGATGAAGTACCAGAGTACCAGATGGACGCTATCACAGCTCTAAGTGGAAGTGGTCCAGCTTATGTGAGTATAGTGCAAGCTAACCGTGAGCAACATAAAATTAAATTATTGGTGATAATGATAGGTAAAGTTTAGTTAAGTATCAGCCTATATGAATACTACTGATGGGAGTGCCTGCGATAAGATAAGCGTGCGTGAAAATAGTCGAATAATTAATTATCTCTGAAGCAATTAAGTTGTATTCTTCAAGAAAAAGTATTCATGAACATCATTACTGCTTGATACAGACTTTACAAGTCCACTGCTTTTTTACCGAAATCAAAAAGGAGGAAGTATTCAATTCGACTGTATGTTTTTAATGTGTGTTACATCAGAACTTTTTTCTGGATGATATTTTTTAAATTTGAAAGCTGTTACTTTGCGTATGGTCCCATATAAATTTGATCAAGATCTGAGCAGTAGTTTTTGAGTCCTTAAGTAACGCGTAAATAATTTAATTCGAATACGTTAGTTCGGTCGTATAGAAGTCGGTTGCACAAAATTTTTAATTTTACTACTTGTTATACAATAAGGCGACAGACAAGCACACAGTCCATGTGAATGTAAGTGGATGCCGCAGGCCATAGACTTCGACATCATTCTTTGAATAAAATCAAAACCTAGATGCGTTGTCCTCTCTGAGGACTAAGATGGAATGCCTAGTTTCTACTAAAAGAGCTCACTGGTTCTCTACATTCACCATACGAAACACAGGCATTAAACTGGTATTTTACACTGGTGCTCTGTGAGGACAGACACACATTCGGTCCCTCTACGGTCGAGCGGATGGCTCGGATCATCATTCATTCATGAGACCATTCGTGCTACAGCCGTTATATATCTACAGCGTGGCTCCACCACGTAAAATGCTGGAAGAGGCCTACTCCCAAGGAATGTCATAAAGCACGGTTATGAGCCACCTGCATCCATTCACTACTATGGTGGAGGATACATACGATAGAGGCTGCACACTACTTTGCTTACTGGTACTTATAAAAAGTATTATAAGAAAAAAAATCTATTTCCAGTCCGTTACAGCCCATCAAAAGTTCACTGATGATTTCTTATATTTACGCGAACACTACACATTGAAATAATACTAGTTTTTACGGAATTTATCGCGTATATTTAACTTTTTAAATACCCGACCGCGGTTACCAGATTAAAATTTAACTTTTGTTTAATCGGAACGAAAGTTAAATTTTAATCTATGGTAACCGCGATTAACTATGACATCTGGAAGTTGAACATCTCAGTCCCGCCCGTGACCATGAGTGCTGTAAAGCGTTCGAAACGTCGGGTATTTAAAAAGTTAAATATACGCGATAAATTCCGTAAAAACTAGTATTATTTGAAAGTTCACTGATGTTTTAGATGATAATAAATATCAACTGACCTTTATTATTAGGTTGGTCGGAGCCTACAGTGTCAATTCATCAAATTCTGAATTTATCAGTAAAATATAAAGTTATGACATCTAGTCTTTGATAACCTTTACGCCCTAGTAGATTAGGTTTTAGGCGCTAACCTCATATAGGCAATTAAACTCCGGTTGAGTTTGAACCCCTACAAAAATTGTCTTTCTTGTTTTTAATGGCTATTTAATTACAACATACGCCCTTCAACATCTACTTCATCAAACATCGTGAGAAATCACATGTTTTGAAGTAAATATGCAGTGGAGCTAAGCTGCGGCCTAAGAGCTCTATAACACTCAAAAATTTGCCCAGCTGTGGGAATTATATAGGCTGTTGCTTCACTTGTCAGCTTAATTATTTATATGTTTTAGGTGTACATGCTCATAGAATCTTTAGCAGACGGTGGGGTCCGATGCGGTCTACCTCGCGACTTGGCTCTGAGGCTTGCTGCGCAGACGACCCTGGGAGCAGCGGCCATGCTTCGCAATGGAGGTCACCCGGCCGCTTTGAAGGATAATGTCACAAGTCCTGGAGGATCCACCGCCGAGGGAACTTATCACCTTGAAAAGAATGGTTTGAATTTTCATGGAATCATGTTTTATTAAACAAAGAAAATCATACAGAAATTGAAAAAAATAACGAATAAATATTTCTTTTCTAGGTTTTCGCTCCGCTATAATAGGTGCGGTTACGGCGGCTAGGGACAGATGTAAGGTGGTCAACCAACAACTTAATAATTAAAACGTTGCGTTAGAATACGTGAATACAGTTGTAAATATGTCAAATACGTGCAAAAGATAAAAATTGTAAAATATTTTATATAATAAAAGTTTATGAAAAATTAAGCGAGTTTTCAGTAACAGTTATCAATATTATACAGCAGTATATTACTACCTTTACGTATGAAACTTACACAAAACCAGCCTAAAATAGCAATATGATACTGCTGTTTTGTATGTTGAGAATCGGAGACCCTGTTTTTACCGGTATAAAGACATTCCATATTAGTTCTCAGATATGAAAGGTAACGTTAAGATGGCTTTTCTATTAAGTACCCCGAACGGGATCAACTTCCTGATTACCAATAAAGTAAGGTAAGTATAACAAAAAGAGAAAAAACTTGCGACGAGACGTGATTGGTGTGATAATTTTTTAATATTTACAAAACTCAAAAGAAAATAAATGAATCTTAACACGGACATATATATATTTCTTTGTTTAAATTTGTCGATTTCTCCCACTCTAACAACTTTTGGCGCTATCTTTCTGGAATTTCACTTACGCCATTTTAAATGAGGAACGACGACTTTCTCTGCCACTAGGTCAGAGCCATCTAAAAATAAAATAAAACAAATAATTGTGTAATTATATAATCTATAGATAATAATTGTATGGTTTGGTTGCGCGAAAAGTGGCCAAATGTATGGCGGGGCGAAACTGCAAGAACATGGAGTTTATCATCGTCTATAACGGGTAGGTACTTCAAAGGCGTAAGATTTAAAAAATGTGCCGGAGTTAAATCCAGTGGCTCCGAGGGGTCACTGGAAAGCATACGGCGTAAAGGGCGGCTATCCATACCTCACTCGATCTGTGCGAGTACAGTGCTTAATTCTTCAAAAGATTAAATTTGATCTCCGATTACGCGATATAAATTACTCTTTAGACTTTTAATATTGGTCTCCCAATTTTCTCCAAAATGACTTGCGGCGGGGACGTTGAAACAGAAACAGAAACTTTTTTGTTCAATGTAGATTATAAACAATACTTATTGAAAGTCAATTTTTTTATTTACCGCTGGTTCGCAAAAAAAACCTCCGTCCTGGGAAGAACCAGCAAGAAACCCAGCGGGACTATTTTTTTCTTCAAATAATAGGTTACAATCATGTTTACAATTAACAACACAAGACAAATTAGAAATAGCTTGGTAGCGATCACCCTTCCCAGGGGTTATTATCATCTATAAATTCCTTAATATTATAATAACTCTTTTTATACAAACTTAGTTTAATAAAATTTTTGAACTTTGCTTATGACAAATTTTGTATATTTTCTGGGATTTTGTTGTAAAAGTGTATACATACTCTCGGAGGTAGGATTTGTATTATTTTTTGAAGCGTCGTATTTTTCTTTTTTTCCCCAAGAATGAATTACTGACTCGGTAGAGTCGAGTAACTAACTGTTACTAGCAGTAACAGTGTGTCTGCTCCTAGTATTTACAGAATGAATATTACTTATTTTTGCAAAACTACGTTTATTCTTGTTTACGTACATTACATTTTCATAAATGTATTGAGGGGCCAGAGTTAATTTATTAATTTCCTTAAATTTTTGTCTCTTTTTAATTAAAAATATGATCCTTACGCGGTAAAACAATGGGGTATCGCTGAGCAAAACTTAAATCCGTGATAGATAAACGACCACCCACTCTAATAATCCCATTCTGTAAAAGTGGTTTTAGGCGTTGAAAAGTGCGACTACGAACCTTGCCTGATTGCAACCTTGCAATCTCATCGGCAAAGTGTCAAAAAAAATTCAAAACACAAATCGGCAAACATAATTACGCTGCGCAATAATTTCGACCAAGAAGAGAAACGACTTGCTAAAATAATGATTGGAGAAACTTCACTTGAAGTATTTGCAACCAGAGAGTGTCTTTTTTCTTCCGGGGGTTGTGATATTGAAGTAGGGTTGCCTATGTTCAATTATGGGTCATTGTGAGGGTCCTAATTGAATCCAAGAAGGTCCTTGAAACCAAAACGGGTGATCTATAATTTGCACCGGAGTAAGTTAACGCTACTAACAATCGCCAGGATTTTCTGCACCGGGCACATAATAGAAATTTTGCGATACTAACTGGTTTTGTATTTGTGAAAGTATCCGAACGATGGGGTGAGGAAGGAGCCCAACATGCAAATATTTTATCGATATGAATGCGACTATTACTTGCACTAACGACAGCTGTGATAAGCTTGGCAAGAACCAAAAAACCTTACGAGGGGAAACCTTTGATGTAGAGCTAATAAGGCTGACCAAATTCTCACCATCATTTTATTTTTACTTATTTATTTTTATTTATTTACACTTTCATGCACAAAGTAGTAGGTACATATGGCGGACTTAATGCCATAGGGCATTCTCTTCCAGTCAACCATTAGGCTAAACAGAGATAGACATTTTGAAGGCATTACAGCAATAATCAAATAGAAAGGGTAATATATATATACATATACATATGTTGGCGACGCGCCTATAAGAATATTTCAATTTATTAGTTAACCGATTACGAATAGCTTCTAAAAAGCAAATTATCAAGCAACAATATTCCGATAAGAAAATGCTTAGTTGAATCTTAAAGAAATATCGAATTAATGATATGAAGGTCTTGGGTTCGACTCCCAGGCCGGAATAGTTTATGGTTTTCTTAGTAATATCTCTTAATAAATTCATATAGGGAATTTTTAAGATATAAATTATGTTACCGGATTTGTTCCCCGGTTGAAATCATCTTTCCAATAATGTTAATTTAAAGAAATATTAAAATAAAGTTAGAGACCAGGATTTGTTCCCCGGTCGAGATGATCGCTGTGCATAAGTAGAATTAATGGAAATTAATTGCATAAGTATTGTCTTATATGAGTTTGATATGTTTTGTATGAAAACAAATGCCTATTTTCTATGATTGATTTATGAAAACATTCGCTTGTATTGTTTGATGGGGGGCATGATGGCTGATGGGAGTCTGATTAGAAGTGGTTTCCAGCGTTTGGGAGTTGTGTAAAATCATTTATTCACCTATTATTGTTGATATTAGTGTATGCTAAACTTTCCATTTTTACTGATAGTCGATAGCCGTGCAAAAGTTAGTTGTTCAAATAGTGTGAGTTCATAGACGCACACTAGCCACGTACTTAGGAGGCCAAATATGTAGAAATTTAAATATTTGCAAATTTCAGCAATTTGTGTAAAATAACTTGTAAAACATTTCAGATTGATTGTACGTGTAAAAGAGGTGAATTCTTTGTTATTTTATGTGAAAATTCCTGTGAATAAGTGAAATAATGATAGTTTTGTATAAGAAATTTAAAAGTGTTTTAATAGTGAAATGTATAGAGAAAGTGTAAATTAAACTATTGTATTAGTTAAGATATGTATAATTTCAAGTGGAAAACATTGTTTTAACTTTCTATGTTAAATATTTAAGAAATTCCATCTTTGAACATGTGAGTAAAATAAGCATATTTTGTTAAATAAATAAAGGATTTTTTGTAATATGAAAATGTATGGTATATCGTAGTATAGATATTTTTTTGTGCTATCTTTATAAGTAAATTGTATAAATGTATGTCTTATACAAATAAAGTTATTGAGCAAACCGTGAGAGAGTGATAGTACAAATTGATGTAATTGAGTTGCGCAAACGCACAAATGGCGCGGCTCACTTTCGCGTTTAGATTCGAGGTAGTTCAGTAAATTGATTTTTCTTGCAAATCGTTCGGGAAAAGTGCAAGACCAGCAGTCAATAAGAAGAAGAAAGAAAAAGTATAGGGAAGTGATAGGGAAAAGTAATTACTCTCTCACGGAACGGTTTGAAGATAATTGCTGTTTTATTCCCAAGGAATTCCCCCTTAATCATACAGTCCATATCGAAGAATTAAGGCGTTGGGACCGGGACGACTTCCGAAGACCCGTAATCCCCGCCTGAACCTATTTTCTGAAAAGGAAGAGGTTATCGCCCTTGTGTGTTACTCCGTTGCGGAGATCACATACGTTGTTCCCGAACCCAACGTAGGCGTTATAGGAGGCCGGATCGAGAGAAGCCTCGATTCCTCCCTTCTGTTTCTTAGTTAACGTTTGTCTGGTTCCTTTTCAAGTGGTCCTTCGGAGCAGGATCAAGGAACCAGCTGTGGACTGCTGGTTATGGAAAAAGAAGACCTTCGGAGCCGAGTGAATATCAGCAACCGAAGGTAGCCGGAGGTTTGAGCTAAAGCAACAGGACCAAAGGCCAGAAGACCAGGTCAGTGCAGTAGGACCGGACCTGGAACTACCAGAAGAAAGAAAATCGGGATTGCAGCTTGGGGCGTGTGCTCGCATGGGGCACGTATCGCAGCCAGGCGCAGGTGCCTTGTGAAGGCGCTCATCGTGGCCGAGCAGGGCTTGGCATTTTTCCTGTCGAGCAAGCGTGCTCGGCATTTTCCTGTCGGACGATCGTGTCCGGCATTTCCTGTCGGACGACCGTGTCCGGCATTTCCTGTCGGGTCATCAGAGGGTGCAAGAAGAAGAAGCATCCACCGCTGCTGCTGCCAGGCGAAGGTGCTCGTGGGCACCTGACTGCATCGCGGCCGGAAGAGGGCGCCTGGACGAGACGTCACCGGCGACTGGGCGACGAAGCGCAGCATACATCCCGACCACCTAACGGTGCCAAACGGTCGGGCTCTGGCACAACACCTTCGGGTGGAGCAGTTCTCTCGAGCGAGACTGCGCTTGCACTACCGCTCGACTGTTTCGTCATATTCCTTGGCGGGACAGTTCCTAAACTTTTCCTCCATTCCATTCCTGCACGACTCCATCCCTGGACGGCTCACCTCGGTAGGCCCCGTTCAGAATTGATAGGGCTGTTAGGGTGGTAATAAGGTTGTAGGGTTGGGAGATAAAGGGGGGGGAGGGGTAGTGGGGTTAGGTTGGGGTGTAGAAGGGTTGTAGATGAGGGGTTGTAGGGACCGTAGGGACAGTTAGGGACCGTA